AGTATCGCAGAAAGACCAAACCCAGTTGCTGTCTCTCAGCAAAGTCCACCATGTGTCCAGATTTCCCGAAATGTCCGAGGCAGCTCTCAGCCCAGGTGAAGGGCTGTGGGACCGGCTGTGGCAGGGGGGGCCAAAAAAACCCACCCGTGCCAGGGTCCCAGGGCAGGGCTGGAGGCTCTGCCTGCTGCTGTGGGCAGGTCCAGGTGGGTGCACCGGGGTTATCAAGGCCGTCTGTCTGCCCAGTGTCCCCAGGCTGCTGCACAGGTTTCAAGGTCCTTTTGAAGGTGTTCCCTGATCTTGACCCACTGCAGCAGCTGCCTGTGGTCCCCACCGGCACAGGGATGTGTGTCGGGGGCCCCTGATACTGTCAGCTGGCTGATAACCCTTCCAGGCTGGGAGAACTATATTGACGGCTTAGAGTAAAGAATAGACTCTTCTCCTTTTCTTTCCCAGAGCACTGCACACAGGGATGCCCACTGCCTCCCCCAGGGTGACCCACAGCTACGTCCAGGGGACCTCGGACATCCCCCTGCTCACCAAAACCATGGGCCAGTGCCTGGAGGAGACCGTCGAGCGGTTTCCCGACCGTGACGCCTTGGTATTCTGCCGAGATGGGGTTCGGAAGACGTTTGCACAGTTCAAAGAGGAGGTGGGTGCATAGTTTCCCCTGCACAGAGCCCAGGCAGGTGGTTGATGGCAGCAGCAGTGTGATGGAGAAATGGAAAATGGTTTCATGGGTCAGCTCAGGAGTGAGGGGTGTCCTGTGCATCCTGGCCCTGAGTGAAGGGAAACGGCACCTCCCCAGCACACACCCCATGGGCGTGTGGTGCCTTTGTCCTCAGAGTCGCGAGATCAGAGGGAGAAGGCAGCATAAGCAGGATGCTTGCTGAATATCCCAGAGTAAACTTTTGTATTTAAAAACGATCATCCCTATCTGATGTGTTACAGGCTGAGTCACAGTGCTTTCCTCCACTGGAGTAGCTCCAGCACTTGTGGTAGTCACTCTGCTCCAACTATTAGAGCTCCTGAGTGTGTGGAGGTTTCTAGTCCGTTGTGGAGCAAAGTCAAGGGCTTGGTCTCAATATCATATGCAAAAAAATCTGTGTGGGTGTATCTATGCATGTGTGCATATTCCATCCAGAATACACATAAACATACAGTTGTATGTAGGGGCAAGATTTCAATGTTGACTATCTGGAAAGTTTCTATTAAACGTATGATATGATCTTGGATAGGAAGAATTGTTCGGGTTTTTTTTTTTAGGTTTACTAGTGTTTTGGTTACATCCATTCAGATAAACAAGATTAGCTGTGCTCACCCTAATTTAAACAGGGGGCTGTGATTCAGAACTGAACCAGAGAATAGCTGTTCCTCAGACTCCTATCTCCTACAAGGTAGACTTGATAAATTTGTTGGAGAACATAACACAGCTATATAAACTCTCCTGAATACCTCAGGAAATATTTATCCATACATCTGCACACCTGAAACATGCTTACCATCTTGCAAAATGAAGCAGTCGTGTTAATGTCGTGGCTGAATTCAAGTTAATGGGGATAGGAACTCCAGATTGGTCCAAAATCTCTTGATACAGTTTTCCGCACCCGAGTCCTTTTTGAAGCAACGTGCCAGATCGGAGGCAGATCCAGGGATGTAGATAGGCCCAGCACACAGGTAAGGCTTAGTCCTGGGTGTGATCTCAGGCTCTTGTCTTGTGTTTTCCAGGTGGACAAGGCAGCAGCTGGGCTTCTGGCGCTTGGCTTGAAGAAGGGAGACCGGCTGGGGATGTGGGGTCCCAATAAGTACGAGTGGGTGCTCATGCAGTTTGCAACTGCCCAGGCAGGAATCATCCTGGTAAGGAGTGTGCTGTGTCTGTTGGGAAAGGAAATGGAAGCAAAGCAGCAGTTAGGAGATACTGGAGAGTGAAGTTAGTGGTGTGACCCTTCCCCATGCTCTCACCCAGCATGTTGGCTGTTCCCGAAGGCAGGATCTAACACGATCTGTGCAGCCCCCTGCATCCCTGTCCTCTGCTATGTAGGAAAGCCACAGACAGAGCTCAGAGGAAGGACCAGGAAAAAATGGACAGCTGGGAACTAGCTTGCAGCATCTGATGATAGATGGAGACATCCTTTTGCCTGTAGGACCATTTCTGTGTAGTGTGCTGCTGTCCTAACCGGTTACTGGTTATTTAGAGCCCTCCTAAATGGGACCCGTGCTGCTTCATGGTGCAAATGCTCAGTTAAAAATGTCGTGCAAGCTGCATATCCCCAAAAGCCAATTTTCATTTGAGAGTATGACCTGGCACGTTCCCCAAAAAGTGTCTTATTTAGACCGTGCACAGTGGTAAGGACTGCACTGTACCTTCTGGTCCGTTTTCTTCACCATGGTTCATCCCAGTGTCTGCCAAGACGCAGTAATGGGATGGGTGAGTGTGGCTCGGTGTGAGCCTGATGGTGAATGCAACTCCAGTGGCCAGCACTGCTTCTGGGGAGAGCTGAGCAGGAGACAGCTGCTGTTTTCATGGGTGTCTGTTAAGAAACTGACTTGCTCTTGAGTTTTGAGTTTTCAGTTCAGTGGCTTGAATGTCTGCCTGGGGAAAGGAGGCCTGGTTTCAGTTCCTCTGTTGTCACATCTAACCTCACCTAAATATCTTCTCTTTTCTGATTCTTTTCTTTCATGCAAACACAGGATTCAGCCAATTTTTCTGGTGAACATGAAACCCCTGCAGTGGGGAGCTCTTGGCTCTGCCTGTTGGAGAGGAGGAGAGGCTTTGAGTGTGGCTTGTCCCTGGGAGAACTCTTCTGTTGGAACATGCTAGAGAAGAGGGTTTTCAAGGCAAGGGTAACTCTGATCAGCCCTCTTGTTTTTCCCTCTGCAGGTATCTGTGAACCCAGCCTACCAGGCCCTGGAGCTGGAGTTTGTCATCAGGAAGGTTCGTATGGCACTGGCTGGCAATGCAAATTCCTTATGAGTTGATTCATTATGAGAACTCGTACAAGCAGACGCCTGTTAAAGGGGACGGTGGGGACACAGCACAGATCAGCTTCTGGTTGAGTACTTGGGCATATCGGGAGCACTGGGGGGAGAGCAGAGCTGTGTAGAGGTGGCTGTGTAGAGGGAACCACCACGCAGTGACCGAGGGGATGAAGCTGTGGTTAAATGCTCACCTTTGTTGCTGTTCCCTTTGGCCGCTCCCCTGTCTGTTTGATGGAGCCTTCTGCATCCTTCTCATCCCTCTCTCTCTCTGCTCACAGCCATGTGCTGCCCACATGACACCAGTAACAACCAGACCTGCCAGCAATGGATTACTAGGGAATGAGGAAAGCAAGGCAGGGCTCGATATCTGACCCAGGGACTGTCCTACCCGAGAAGCTGGCAGCCAGGACAGCAGGGATGATGCAGTGACAGCGTGTGGCTGCAGGCTCTCGAGGCAACATCTGTCTCACATCAGTTCAGGCTTTCCCATGCTCGTGCTCCAACCTCTGCCTGCGCTCAGGCTGCCCGGGAGTGAGAGCATCAGCGGCCGCGCTGTCCTGAACCCAGCGCAGCGCCGGCTGCACGCCTGGACCAGGGCTCAGGATGCCGGTGTGTGGTGACGGCACCCTCCCCTGCGCTCACGGGGCTTTAGGGGTTCACAGCCGTAAGGGCTCAGTTTGCATTTGCCCTCGGTGAATCTACTGTGCAATGACCTACGTCGTGCTCTGCAGTGCATCTTTAAACCACTGCATGCCAAAAATAAAAAGTTAAAAAACTCCAGGTTTAGTTTGGAGAGAGGGTATTGTATCACGTACTTATAGAAACAAGCCGTGGAGAAATCCCAGTGGGGTGCCGCTGGCTGTTGCCTGTGGTGTGGGGTCCTGGGGCTGCGTGTGTTCCTGTGCTGGTGGTGGCTGCTCTTTGCTGTGTCCTGGGCACCGACCCGAGGTGACCTCTCATGAGGTTCTGTCTGTCTTTGCAGGTTGGCTGCAAGGCGCTGGTGTTTCCCACTCAATTTAAAACGCAGAAATACTATGATCTTCTAAAGCAGTCGTGTCCAGAGATAGAAAAATCCAGTCCAGGAGGAATAAAGAGCAAAAGGTGAGTGAGGAACATCTGGTGTCTGTCCTGTGTCCTCCCTGTGCCCAGCTCAGGTGTTAGCAGAAGGACCCATACTGGGTCTCATCCGAAGAGAACGGGTCAGGCTGTCCCGGAGGTTTGCCCTGACCGGTGTACGCCTACCCAGGCAGTTTTCTCCTTCCCTCGTTATTGCTGATGGTATTTTTCTTTCTGCCAGGCTCCCTGACTTATCCATTGTTATCACAGCGGACTCCAAGCTGCCCGGCACCTTCCACATGGAGGAGGTGCTGCAGGCTGGGGACAGCAGCCACATGAAGCAGCTGAGAGCCGTGCAGCAGACCCTCTCCTGCAACGAGCCCATCAACGTCCAGTTCACTTCGGTAGGTCCTTCTGCCTGCTCCATGCCCGCGGTTGGGTTCCTTGCTGGGGACACAGGGAAAGCTGTGCGCGATGCTGAGCATCCCGTTTCCCTCTGAGACCCAGCCCTGGCTCCAGCTCCTCTAGGGTGGAGGAAATGTTCGAGCGTTTCCCTGCGCTGCTTCTGTTCTTGCTGCTCAGCCCTTGCCCAGGGGCTGATGGAGATGGTGTCATGGGAATTCTGTCCAGCTGAAGTTGGACCTTTTTTTTTTTCACTTGGTTTGGGATTAAGATGCTGTTAAAGAGGAAAGTTTCTCAGGTGTGAATGGAGAATGAAGTGCAAGGTTACCCCAGAATCCGCCTGGGAAATCGCCCCAGGGAGCACACGTAGCTCATCCTTGGGAAAGGTGGCATCACTGCCCAATGCTCCGTGTCTTTCAGGGGACAACGGGAAGCCCCAAAGGAGCCACCCTCTCTCACAGGAACATTGTGAATAACGCCAACCTGATCGGTCTGCGGCTGGGGATCACAGAGCAGGTGGGTCTCGGTGGGAACAGGGCTTGGGGTGGTCTCCGCTGCCCCAGAGAGACTGAGTGTGTGGGGAGTGTTGGTGCTCGCTCAGCAGAAGGTCAGGATGTTTTGCTGCAAATGACATTGAGCGATACTTGTGCATAACATTTTTATTGTCAGTGGAGTTTCATTGATGTTTCATTTTAGTTTCATGCAAAGTATTTTTTTTGGGGAAAAAAAAAGATGCCTTTTTGTGGGGGAAAATAGTGAAATTACTCGCTTTTCATTTTGCTGGATACTCTTTTCAAAGCATTACAAGAGTCTGGATGTTAGCTTTGAATTCTGTTGAATGAGGTTTTAATTTATTTTACATGACTTCATTTCGTGTCATGTATATAGTCTTGTAACTCTTATCAGGATATGACCTTTCCATTTGTAGTTTCTTTTAAAAATTTTTGAGGGTAAATATTTTCTTTTGAAGTTCTGCAGTAGTTATTTCAAACACAATAGCTTTGATCCAGAAAAAAGGCAGGCTGTTTCAATCAGTCTTCAGAACCTTTGGTGTTTTAAAAAACAAAATAAAATCAATGGCGTGTGCCAAGTCCTGCATATTTCATGCCTGTCATAGCACCACCGCTTGTCTCTTCTGGCATATCACAAAATAACGGGCCAGCAATACCAGACTGAGAAGTCCAGCGAAGAAAAGACATTGCAAAATTACAGAATGAAATCTTGACATAAAAAACTTCCCAAAGTGATTTTTATTAAAGGCAGGAAGCATCCGTGTTGTGTTTCCACCTAAGGGGAGCACAGATGAATGTGAGATTTCCAGCAGGTTTCCAGTGAATCGGGGAAAACTCTGCTCGGACCTTTGCTCTTCAGCAGTGAGCTGGGCTGGTTGCGGACGGGAAGATCTCCTCTCCTCACTCTTGTCTTTGCCTTGATCCCAGGAGTACCGCGTGGGCCTCCCGACACCCCTCTATCACTGCCTGGGGTCGGTGGCTGGCTGCATGGTGATGGCTCTGCACGGCTCCTCCTGCATCTTCCCATCGCCCAGCTTCGAGGGGAAGGCTACTCTGGAGGCAGTGGCTCGAGAGAAGTGAGAGTTTGGTTGTGTCTTGCTCCGGAGGGGTTCGATGCTTTCTGCCCTTGGCTCGCTCACACTCCTCCTTCCCCCCGTGGGACAGGCGGGTTTGCTGGTGCACATCCATGCACAGGCACTTCAGGAACCCAAATCCTGCCTTTTCCGCTGCACTTGGGAGTTTGCCACGCTTCTCTTTTCCCAAAAATAAGGGATGCTTCAGGGCTTTAGCTGGAAGGCATAGCGGTGCCGTGGTTTGCTGTGCCTGGGGGGTTTTTACACCCCCCGCCTGCACTCCTGCCCCAAGCCCAGCTCCGCTGCTGAGCTGGTTGCATTTACAGCCTGTTCTTCACGTGTAGCTTGTAAAAAAAGAGAGCTATCATTGTGTATGCATCATGCACATACATGGATATTTATCTATATTTTCTATATACATGTGTACATATATCTATATGTGTCTGTCTGCTGTGCCTGCCCCCGTGCCGCTACTCCGCGGCCCCACACGATGGGACGGGGGCTGAGCCGGGGCTGTCCCTGGTCCCAGCTCTGCAGCTTTGCCTTTTCTCTCCCCATCCCGAAGATGCTCCTTTCTGCACGGCACGCCGACCATGTTCATAGACATGCTCTCCCAGCTGGAATCTGACTCTTACGACCTGTCAACTCTCCGGGGAGGTAAGTCTCGGAATTCAAATGGGAAAATCCCAAGAAACTGGCTGTTACTGGTTCCCTGCTGGGAGGTTGTATTAAGCTTTGTGAGCAAATGGCTCTTCTCAGGGGAAGAGTTTATTTGCACAAGCCTTGTGTTTCACTGTTAATTTGATGCAACATTTCCTTTCCTTGGGGTTTCCTCCAAGAGTTATGCTTTTTTAAGGTTTCTTTCATTTTACAGCAGATGAGGGAAGACCTGTCAGGTTTATCCGCTCGACTGGGGAGCTGGGAAGCCGGGTTGTGCTGGGCTCTCCTCTCGCCAGCCACCACGGAGTGGCAGCAGATGCTTGGTGTGCTTGAGGCTGCTGCAGTCCCTAAAGCAGAGCTAGGCTGTGATTGCTCTGACCTAAAGTCTCCTGCCTATTTTTTGAGGTCACTTGTCTAAATATGGGAAAGGGTGCAATAACGTGCGCTGGAGTTTTCTCTCTTGTCGCAGAGAGGCTTGGAAATAGCTGAGCTGAAATGGGGAGACCACCAGCCCTTTGAGGCAATGGCAGCATGGAGAGAAGATGGTGCTGGAGCATAGAGAAACATTTAGGCAGATTACTCAATCATCTCTCTTATGTGAAAACTGATCCTGTCTCGTCTTGTTGCCCAGCAAAACCTATGTATTACCTCATTCTTTTGCTTTCTCATCCTAGCATGGAACCAGGTGAAAATGTGATGTGCCCTCTCTCAAAAGGGCTGGTGGTCTCCTGCAAGGCAGGAGGAAAGGGTTTTGGTTCTATGGGAGGATTTTTCCTGCTAAAAATCTGTGCCTCTCTCTGATCTCAATCTTTCCTTTTTGGGAACTGCAGCTTGGACTAGGATTCCGCTAGAGGGTTTATTTTCCTAACGAGTGAACTCTGCCAACCCTTAATTCATTCAGGCAAACTGGCCTTGCTGCAGCCTTTGCTGCTGGAATAAGGAGGACCTGTATCCTTAAAAATAGAAAGTATTTTGACAGGAACCAGTGTATCCCAAAGGTCTTGCCAGCATTTAAATCTGGGAGCGCAGAACTTCTGAGGGACTGCTCCCGGGAACAGATCGTTTCTAAGATGGTCATAGAATCCCAGACTGGTTTGGGTTGGAAGGGACCTTAGAGCCCATCCAGTCCCACCCCCTGCCATGGGCAGGGACACCTCCCACCAGCCCAGGTTGCTCAAAGCCTCATCCAGCCTGGCCTTGAACCCCTCCAGGGATGGGGCATCCACAGCTTCTCTGGGCAACCTGGGCCACTGCCTCACCACCCTCACAGCAAATAATTTCTTTCTAATATCTCATCTCAATCTCCCCTCTTTCAGCTTAAAGCCATTACCCCTCGTCCTATCCCTCCACCCCCTGATCCAGAGCCCCCCCATCTCTCCTGCAGCCCCCTTTCAGCACTGGAAGCTGCTCTAAGGTCTCCCCGGAGCCTTCTCTTCTCCAGGCTGCACACCCACAGGCTGAGACCCTGTCCTCGGATGGGAGGTGCTCCAGCCTCTGACTGTTTCTATGGCCTCCTCTGGACCTGCTCCAACAGGTCCAAGCTGAGGGTGTGCTCAATCCCACTTTAATAATCTTTTCCTCTTCTTCCAGGAATCATTGCAGGTTCTCCTGTTCCCCCCGAGGTCATGAAGATGATGATCACCAAGATGCACATGCCGGAGATCACGGTGAGTCGTGGTTGTTGTGACTGGTGCTGTTTGTCATGGTGAGACCCTGAGTTTGGGTATCTCTGCACCACAGCGGTACCTGGCGGTGCCAGAGCTACTGGGATCAGGTGTGGTGGGATGCTGGGCGCGAGGCCACGCTGAGTGAGGTGGGCTGGGAGGAAGAAGGGGGATTCAGTGTCCTAAAGTGAGCTTCTGCTGGTGCATTTCAAAGCTCATAAACCCTTCTGTTGTACATGCTGCCAGGATGGATGATTATGGAAGAGGCATTGCTGGTTTGTATCAGTGTGGGTGGGTGCACGTGTTCATCTCGCTGTGGAGCTGTCGGGTTTCTTTCCCCATCCTGGACCGCATGCAGATATCAAACCTTGTCACACACTATGTGTTTGTGCCTGGATGTGGGAACGGTGCCATCCACACGTGCGGTGCCAGGCGTTGCGCTGCCAGAAGGGCAGCACGTGTCAGAGCTTGTGTGCTGCTGCTCCATCGCATGTCCCCGCGCCCTTGGCCCGTGCAAGAGCATCAGCATGTCCTGCATGTGGAGGGGGACAGACCACCAATGAGGCGATTGGTGGCACTCCAGGTGACATGTTTTCTAAGCAGGTTTTGCTTTACTTTAAGGGAATTAAGTTCAGTGCCATATTGCTTGCAAACGCTGAGGAAGCAGGCTGTTGTGATGGATAAACCTGGGCTGGGAGTCAGATCAGGCGTGTTCTTGTTGGTAGACCTGGGCTGCTCCAGCCCCCAGGGTTTTACAGGGACAACTGTGCTCTGCTGTGGACCAGGCAAGTCCAGAGCATCTGTCCTGGAGCCGTCTCAGAGGCAGCTAGAGTTTTTTCCTGGATGTGATGCTCTTAATGCCGAGCTGAAAACGGCAGGGACAGCTCTGGTGCCATTGCCCGGACTCTGTCAGGTGACAGCTATCTATTTTTGTAGTAGGCTTGAGTTTGGCCTCACAAAATATTTTCAGACATTACTGCAAGTGCCCAGGACTTGTTAGGTGTCATGTGTTCCTGCTTTGTAGAAAGAGAAATAATAAACCCCTCCCAAACAGTTGCTCTGCCCATAGGATAAAGAGGATTAATTCTATATTTGTGCCACCAGTCTCGTGTTACTTCTGATCCCCCAGCCCTCAGACACACACAGGGACACTTGTTGAATTCATCTTTGCAGCAAGAGCTTTATACAGAAGATGTACATAAGAAAATATACAATTTGATTTCTATATAGGAGACAGAGGAGATTTCATCCTCTTAAAGGTCATTTACACTCAGTTACAGAGGAATAAATATACATATATTTATATAACTCTTTAGGATTAAAAAACACAGTTAAGTTGCTGTGGTATTGCAATAGCCGTGACAATAAACCACAGTCATCCTGGTGTCCTGCGAGATCCTCGGGGGTGTGGGCAGAGAGGAGGTGCCCCGCCGGGCTGCACGGCGCACACCTTCTCTCGGACGTGTGAGCATCTTGGTAGACCCCACAGCGTGGGAGGGAATCCAGTCTTCAGATGGCTTCAGTTTTGGGCTTTCCCAGCACTGCTTCACCCAAAGGGTTTCTGGCCGACCCAGAGGTTGCCACCCATCGGCGTCAAAGGACATCTTGGTCTCAGGGCCACCGGTCCTCGGGCATTGCTTCACCTGTCCCCCTCAGCCCTGGCCTGCAGGGATCCCCTCCGTGGGCAGGCAGGAGTCTCTTTGCGTGGGTTGAGACCAATTTTCCTGATCAAGCAGCTGGGGGAGGGATGCTTCTACCTTCCCACTTGCTTCCACTCCACTGGAAGAGGAGAGATGGTGACCAACTGGTTGATGGAGGCCGTGGGTTGTGTTGGTTCTGGGGAAGATGACTGTGTTTTACCGGCAGGATCTAGGTTAGCTTGTCTTAGTATGGTCATGCATAGTTTAGTTTTTTTTAAAAATGCCTCTTTTAAAATATATAGATGTCGGAAAAGATTGGAAAGGTGGATTCCATCCTGCAATCAGCAGAGAAGCGGGGATTTGGAGGAGGCTGGAGGTGTTTGGATATATCAGAAATGGTTCCCGACAGGTAGGAGAAGCTGAAGGAAGGACTCGGAAGTCAGTAGTTTGATGGTTGAAGTGACCCGTCACCAGGACAGGCCATACTGGGGCCTGCTAGGGGAAAAAAAGAGAGAAGTACACATGTTTAAGGGGATTTTTCAAGCAGATCGGTAAACTTCCAGCATTTGTCTGTTTGTTTTTATACTCGAACCAAGTCCATACTAGAAAGGGAAGAGTCGGGAGTCAAGGAGCCGTTACAAGTTCCTGGTAGGGGATGGGTGAGTCCCGCCTCTGACCCCTTCTGCCCGTGCTCACTGTGACTCTTGGGTCTCTTCCCCAACGTGTTGATGGTCAGGGAGCACTTCCTTCGTAAAGGAAGAAACACAAGAGAGAAATTTCAAGAGTAGTGAATTGTTTTGGTGCTGTGGTTCTCAAAATCCAGGGCAGGGAGGTTTTTAGGACCTGCCAAGCAGCCTTTCCTCTGCAGTGTGGTCAGTGACCGAGTCGCTGGCCACCCCCAAAATGCAGACCCTTGTAGCTGACAGCTGAGGGAGCTGCCTGGCTCCCAAGAGGTGCACGATGAAGTCAGAGGTACCTCATATTCCTTAAAATCATGTTCACCGCCCTGCAGTGGGTTTGTATGCCTGCACTGTGGCACTCACACCCGAAGGTACCGCGCTTTGTCTTCTGCAAGACTGGAATAAATACTTTTCTGTTTCATTAGCACTTGTAAACCTGCTTGAGAGAGCTGGATGGAAGGTGCTACAGAAAAAGCAGGTGTTACTGTCATGGTTGTCTTACTCTCATTATGGAGGAGTGAACGGGACTTGAGCTCAGGCAGGGAGAGAAGAAGGTTAAGAAGGGCCAGAGCTGCAAATGAAATACACTTAAGGATTGTGGTTTAGAGAACTGAAGTTTTTCCATCCTTAGAGCGGAACTTTACCCGCCCTATATGGAACGACTGGTATTTCCATCTCCAGTCCATAAAACCTCTGGCACTGCAAGAGAAATAACTGCTTTAGGAAGGCGCAGAACAGCTGGCATCATCCCTGACATTTTGGTCATAAATTTCCTTTCTCCATCCTGTTGTGCATATCCTTAGTGAACTGGGGACCAAACCACCATAACTGGGCTTCGGGCTTCTGCCTCGTCCTTTCTGTTGTGAAAGGGCACAGTGACAACCCCTGTTCGTACAGTGCAGTGCAAGGTCACCACATGTCACCTCCAGAATGAGCAAAGGTCCCTTTCCCAAGAGCTTGCAGACTTGCAGGCTCATCCAGAGTCCTTTGGAATCCACACGGGCTCCAGACATACTCCTGGGATGGGGAAAAGCAAAATTCTTGGGATGAAGCGATGACAGTTGTGGCTTTCTTGCTACTCCGTGCCCTGAATTTAATACTCGTGATACTCGTGGTAGTTTCCAGTTGTGGCAGGTGTGTGTGTGGTGGGTTTGCGCAGTTGGTGTTTGGGTTGGGAGATGTCAGGAAGCTCATTGCTCAGGGGAAAGTCAGCCCTGTCTCTGAATCACCTTCTGGCCCAGAATGCTTTATTCAGACAATATTTGCTGTCTCGATCCTCCCTCTTCTTGGACGCTCATTTGAAGGCATCAGCCCTTGTTTTTAAATACCTGAGTGTCTTGGATGGGAATTGTAGTTGGTGAAAGGCAGGTGCTGGACTGAGAACTGCTCCTTATGGAAGTCATCTCTTTCCATACGGGCTGGGCAGCCTGGGGCCAGGCTTCCCAGCAATGTCCTGCCCTGGATTTCAAACCAGACCTAGAGGATCTTTAAAAGGCTGAGTATCTCCAATTGGTTAGAAAAGTAAAGCATGTGTGATCCCAGCTCAGGGTAAGAGTGGGCTAAATCCACCCTTGTTTTGACACTTAATTACACGTCTCACCCTTACCTGCTGCCCCAGGCCAGTCTTTAGCTCCATGTTTGTTTTACGGGGTTGACTCCACCCCAATGCTCCAGGCAGATTCTCTGGGAAGCTGTGGATGCCCCATCCCTGGAGGGGGTTCAAGGCCAGGCTGGATGAGGCTTTGAGCAACCTGGGCTACTGGGAGGTGTCCCTGCCCATGGCAGGGGGTGGGACTGGATGGGCTTTAAGGTCCCTTCCAACCCAAACCAGTCTGTGAGTCTATGATCAGGGTTTGCTGCAGGTTAGACTACAAGCTACCAAGAGGAAGGGACTCTATGAACCATCTTACGTGTTTAATGGCGGCTTCCCTTCTTGGACCTCTTGGTGGGGAGCTTGCAGGCGCGGAGGGCTGGGGTGTCTCTGATGGACTGTCCCCGGTACTGTGTGGGCGTGGAGCAGGTCTCCTCGGTGCGGGTGCGATTGCCCTTCAGCCACCTGGGACACGGGGAGGAAGAAGATGGGAGCTCATGAGAGGCGCAGACCACCCAGGACAGTGCTTATACCATGGATGGGAAGGGCAGGCTGGAGAGAGCTGCTGAACGCAGCTCGGGGGGACCCCAAGGGGACCGTGGGGAGGGCGGGGGTGCGCGGTGCCATACTTGCGCAGGGGTGCCAGCTGGCAGTTGCAGTGCCAGGCGTTTTTGGAGAGTGTCAATGTCTCCATTTTCTCAAAGGGGAAGTTGCGAGGCAGCTGGGTGAGGCGGTTGTTGTCCAGGTGAGCAGTCTTCAGAGCGGTCACACCGGCGAACGCGTTGTCTGAAAACTGAAGCACAAAGGTTTATGGTAGGAACACTGGGTGAGGGAAGGGGAACTCACAACCTGAGTGCCTCCCTTCAAGACTTTTAGAGGTGTAAGCATGGAAAGAGCAAGAGGAGGAGCAGTGGAGGAGGTCCTGGCTCACTGGAAGCTCTGGCCACCTGAGAGAGGCATCAGGTTGGTGGGCTCATGGGTGATGGAGTCTCCTGCCTGAAGGGAGCTCCATCCCAAACCCATGTGGGATTGTCTTTACAGCCACATCCCTAAACAAATTAAAGTCTGGCAGCCCACTTTATTTTCAAGTCA